GCCTACCCCTGCTCTAGAGAATACCATCTGATACGAGATTTTCAAGGTAAAGCTAGGGTCCTGGTAACCATACCAATCCAACTCCAGACCAGTTACAATAGACAAAAAGAGATCACCCTGTTGACCAGGCAAGGGTAAAAGACCAGATGTCTGTATTTATACTTGCCTGTGCTAATCCAGTGGCTCAGCACTGCCAGACAATTCCAGGATTGGTTTGCCTAAATACCCTAAAAGTACCTGATCTTGGAAGCTAAACAAGGTCAGCCCTGGTTAGTATTTGGATGAGAGACTGCCATTAAAAAAAAAAGGCACTGTGGGCTATATTTCAGAGGAAAAAAACATCAAAACTATCTCTGAGTCCTCCTTGCCTAGGAAAACCCTATAAAATTCAGAGGGTCACCATACATTGGCAGGTGACTGGAAGGCACATACACACATGCTCTTGAGTGCATGACTCACTACAGGGTATTCAGACAGCTATCCCATGCACTAAGTAAATATATGATGGGGATGGAATCATGTCCACTAGCAACACCTTTCTAATGTGCCCTTTGGACCCAGTGACAGCATATCTCAAATTAACATGAAAGAGGCCTGTGTACACAAAATGTATTGATTGAGTGAGTTGATGTACTGCCCTTCAGTACACATTTCCCATGTGGTTCACACAATATTAACAATCAATACATAATAAAACAACAAACACTGGAAGAATCAACAGCAGGATGAAATATCAGACCATGTTTCCTGTTGGTATGAAAGAGGCCTCTATGTATCTATATCTGGACCAGAGCTTAGAAATGTTACTTTTTTGGGACTGCAGTTCCCACAATTTCTCAGCCAACTCTGATCTGGATGCACACAGGAACTCTTCACATTAACACAAACATCATTGGCATCAGGAAGGTTATGGACAATTTGAACAATCCTATTCCCTTCTTGGGAGGCATTTATCTGAACATTCCAAAACCTCAAAAAACAGTGGATTTGATCTTGAGTGTTGTTGTTGTTGTATGCCTTCAAGTAATTTCTAAGCTATGGTAACCATAAAGTGAAACTATCATGGATTTTTCTTGGCAAGTTTCTTGTCATCCTCTAAAGCTGAGAATGTGACCTGCCCAAGTCACCCAGTAGGTTTCGATGGCTGAGATGGGGTTCAAAAGCTGGTTTCCAGTCATAGCCCAAAGCTAAAACCACTACACCACACTGGCTGTCCAGATTTCATGGGGATACATCTTCCATCAATGCTAACCAGCAAAGCCAATGATGATGGGAGGTGCAGTTCAACAACATCTGAAAATTATGTACGTATTCCCCTTCCATGGATTAGATTTTGCATTGAAAGGGTAAGGGGAAACCACAGCTTGGAAAAGTTGCTTTTTGCACTAGAACACCCAGAACTGTCCACACCCAAATTGGAATTTATAGTCCAAAATAATAACTTCTATGAACTCTGGCAAATATCTATTCTGTATAAACCCTGAGAGTGAGCATGTTGAAGCCATTAAAGGGTATTTGGGGTGACTTTCCTATGCTGAGTAATTTCAAAAGCATGTATCCTGGGTGAAAACTCAAATGCATGACCCTCTCACCCCTTGACAACTGCCTGGAGGTATCCTGGGTGATGAATCCTTCGTAATCATGGAGAGTAGATGAATACTTCTGGTGAAACTGGAAATTGATGACCCAGGCAAAATCCAAGAATAGGTCTGGGCTAAGGTTGGCAATTGTCTTGATTTTATCAAGACAGGCGAAAACAAAAACAAAGCACACACACATATACACCAACATCCACTGGTTTGCTAGCAAGTTTTATCTGCACCCTATTCCCCAGACTCAAGGAAGTGTCTAGAATTATTATTATTACTTTCCCATACTGGAAAGCAAACCAGAGAAGGCTGGACTGTAGATCTTTTTTTAAAAAAAACACACACACAAATCACTCTCAGAAAGGCACATAGACAGAGAATTTATTGATTACTTCAACCAGGGTTAGCTCTAAGTTTAAGGCCCCTCACTCTCTCATCTGGTGTCTACCTACGCCACTGGGTTTGCTGATGGTCGTACTACCACAATTAGATGTAGACAACTAGCTGTCTGCCATCTCAGATGTTTTTAAATAAATAGGCAGGTGAATGAGCCCAATCCAGAGCAAGTGTCAGGACCAGTGGATCTGCAACATCAGACTAGGGACATCAGAATTGGTTATGATTTCAGCCTATTAGCAGAGTTTGAGAAGTTATTTACATACATAATTGTTGTGTGGTTTAATGGTTTGAGTGTTGGACTAGAAGTCTGGGAGATCAGGGTTTGAATCCCTGCTCAGCTATGGAAACCCACTGCATGTCCTTGGGCAAGTTACACTCTCTCACTCCAGGAGGAAGGCGATGACAAACCCTCTATGAACAAATTTTGCCTTGAAAACCCCATGATAGCTTCGTCTTAAGGTTACCATAAGTTGGAAATGACTTGAAGACATACAACAGCAACAAAGACCCCAAAAATATCTCGTAGTCACTATCGCTAATCCCCCTTCTAAATTTAGTAGCTTGTTACATTACTCATTATGATGTTCATTCCTTTTGAGTTCCTAGAAAATTGGCTAAGGCAATGGCTAAGTTATTCTCTCTATTAGCTTCCTTTGCCAAACATTGGAAACCAACAGCCCAATGTTGGGGAACTACCAGGAGTGAGGGGAATAGGTGGACTACACCTCCTGGCACACTTCTACCCTTGATTCCCCCCCCCTTTTAAAAAATCTCGTTTGACCAAAAATTGCAATTTCACCACATTTCTTACCCCATGGGCTATTTTTGTTGTTGCTGTATGCTTTCAACTCCTTTCCAACATGGAAACCCTAAGGCAAACCTGTCATGGAGTTTTCTTGGGCACGCCGTCCTCTGAGGCTGAGAGAGTGTGACTTTCCCAAGGTCACCTAGTGGGTTTCCATGGCTGAGATGGGATTTGAACCATGGTCTCCAGAGTTTTAAGTGCCCAGAAAGGCCTTTTTCTACAATAGGAGGTCAAGTGGAAATACTTTCAGGGGCCAAGGAGCCTTTAAAAAATAGTGTGGCCCTTAAGGGCCTTAAAGGGGCCCTTTGCAGCTACCAGGACATAGGTTCCCAACTTCTGCAACAGGCAAACAATTACTTCATATAGATGCTGTGCCAAAATTGGATGAGCAGCGCATGTTCACATATCCTCCAACATTTAACAAATGAATACTGGGACACAAGTGGCCAAACAACATCAAAGTATGGTCAAGAAAGCAAACGTTAGTAATAAGGAAAAACATACAAGCCTAGTTAGCCTGCAGAAGTTTGTTTTCGCCTGAATATACTGGGAGGGACAAGATTCTGCCCCCTATTCTCTGCTTCTTTCCTCTACTTCCTCTTGAATTAATTGAATAAAAATTACTTTTGCACTTTGAACTCAATTTGCAGAAAATAAAGTAAGCTAAGGACAGTGATAGGGGGAGAGGAAAAATGGGACATTTTAGAAGCAGTTGAAAAAGTGGGATGGCAGAGGATTAACTGGGATTGTCCCTGCCAAATCAGGACAGTTCAGGTGTATGTATTAATTGCTGAGGAAGGCCAATAGTGGTCTTTCCAGATGTTTTGAACAACATGTTCTGTTTAGCTGATGAAAGTTTAGGACAAAACATTTGGAAGATTCCAGGTTGTCTTCCCTTGGACAGCATTCAAGGGGGAGCAATTAGGATAGTGAGGGCTACCAAAACCAACTCTTATGAGTTTAAAAATTACATACTTGAAATCTTAGATGCTAAGAAGCATGCCTCATATGGAGTCAAACAATTCATCTATCTATTTGTCAAACTATTTTTTGAGAATCCTATTAACGACATGCATGTGCTTTACTTGCACATATGTCCTGCTTTGAAGAAGGCATATGGAGCTATTCTCTAGCTTCTTGTACCCCATACCCCACCATCACCACTACTACCCTGGCTGCTACCAAGCCCCACGTGGCCATTGCTACAGTAGAGAGATAAGTGTGGGTGGGGGATTGCTTCTTGCGCTGTTGCAGTTAGCTAGACAAAGAGGCAGCAGTCATCATTCTGCTTTGAGAGGCAGTCCGCAGTGCTTGGTTCCTCTCTCTCTCCACACACACACACACTGGGCAGTTGCTGGGAGAGACACATGAGACTATGTGCACAGAGTAGTTATGTTCACTTTCATATCTAGGATCTCACCAAGAGCTGCCATTTGTCCCAGAAAACCTGGAAAATCCAGGGGAATATGGGGTTGTTCTTTGCATGACTAAAAGCTGTTGTATTGGGGCTTACTCCTAAGTTGACATGCACCTGACCAAGCTGTGTTTTGTATTCCTGGACATAGGACGTTATCACACGGGGGCAAATCTGCTGGTTAATCCA